AAAAAATTTTCAGATAATTTTGGGCGAAGATATTCATTGGCAAGATCATTTAAAACCCCTGGTGCTCTGTAACTGAGAAATGGCAACCCATGAAAAAGGCTGGGAAAAGTCCATGAGAGACCCACCGGGGACTTTTATGATGTTACAGAGTACCTAGATTCTTTCAAGTGTTTGCGTAAACCCACTGGGCTTTTGCTGGTAAGTTATTTAAACCAATACCGCCTTTGTCAAAGAAAAAAAACCTTAACTGTTATTTTTAAATTTTTTTAAATTTGGGTTGTTTGTTATTTTAGATCCAAGCTGACTTTGCACATTTGTATGAAGACAATCCACTAAACTCTTTGACAATGTGGAGGCTTTCTTGACCAAAGTTTTTGAAGAGTTGAAAACAGTGCGCCCTTGTCCTCGTGAGCTGAAATCAATCCTCAAGCAGCAGGAACTGACTGTAAAATCTGGAGGTATGTTTTACTGAACAACTTTTTCCTTTGTGTTTCTTTGACATTTGTTCCTTATTTTCCATTGTAAATTGACTAGTAATACTCTTATTCTTTTAATGAAGTTTTTATAAAATAAAATTTATTTTTTAAAAACTTCTCTCATACAATGTCCTTTTATTTTAATTGCAGGTAGTGTCTACCACAGTCATTTTAATGACTCTTTCCTACCTTGTACCTGTTCACACTGTGAGCAAGAAAAAAAGAAAAGACACAGCAGAGGAAATTAAGGGGGGAGGCCCAATCGCAAGGAAGTCCAGGATGGGTTCATCACTCACATTGATGTAGGTACATTTTATTTAGGTTTGTATTATTAGTGTTATGTTTGATTCATTTCTAACGTTTGGCTGTTGTTTGTTTTTCAAACAGAATGTTGCAGAGCTTCATGAAACGGTCAACAGACGTGATCGAAAATTTTTGGATATTAAACAAACAAGGCAGCCATTTGTTGTATTAGTTGGACAAGATCAAGAAAGTATCACACATCATATTCTGTGTCAATGACTTTTTCTACTTGATGAGTTCACCACTTGAAGCTCTTGATATTTGTTTCAAGACAATATTTGCTTTAGGGGTGAAATATTCTATTGAAAGTAGGCCCCTATGGATGTTGCTCCAAACTTTTGTGTATGACATTTACACTTCTTATGACAAGCTCAGTGCTACTGCTTCTACTATTAGTCTTCTTGCAAGATTTAATGTAAATCTTCAGTAGTTTTCCTGTTATGTGCCAGAGTTTTATGTATGGTTTTCTTCGTTTGTTTTGGTAA